TATCTAATGGTAAGGATCCTACTAATGTACACTAACACCTTATTCCTTCCATCTAATGCACAGATCTCACAGATGTACACCATCACCTCATCTCTTCTATCTAATGGCAAAGATCTTATGTACCTATTACCTCATACCTTCTAGATCCACTTAATGGATTACTAATGTACACTACCACCTCATACCTTCTATCCAATGGCAAAGATCTTACTAATGTACACTATTACCTCATCCCTTCTATCTAATGTCACATATCACACTGATGTACACCAACATCCCATACCTATTACCTACCACCTAAGATCTTATTTATGTTCACAATCACCTGATCCCTTGTATCTGATGGCAAAGATCTTACTAATTTACACTATCACTTTATTTTTTCAATCTAATATCTAATGTACACCAAGATCTTACTAATGTACACTTATTGATGTTCACTATCACCCATCCCTTGTATCTAATGGCAAAGATCTTACCTCATCCCTTCTATCTAATGGCAAAGATCTTATCTCCCAATGTACACTATTACCTACCACTATCTAATGGCAAGGATCCTACTAATGTTCACAATCACCTGATCCCTTGTATCTGATGGCAAAGATCTCACTAAGGTACACCATCACCTCATCCCTTTTATCTAATGGGAAAGATCTTACTAATGTACACCATCACCTCATCACTTCTATCTAATGGCAAAGATCTTACTTAGATACCTTATCACTTCATCCCTTCTATCTAATGGCAAAGATCTTACTAATGTACACCATCACTTCATCCCTTCTATCTAATGGCAAAGATCTTAATAATGTACACCATCACTTCATCCCTTCTATCTAATGGCAAAGATCTTACTAATATACACCATCACCTCATCCCTTTTATCTAATGGCAAAGATCTTACTAATGTACACTATTACCTCATTCCTTCTATCTAATGGCAAAGATCTTACTAATGTACACCATCACTTCATCCCATCTATCTAATGGCAAAGATCTTACTAATGTACACTATCATGTACAATGTACACTATCACCTTCATGGCAAAGATCCTTCTATCTAATGGCAAAGATCTTACTAATGTACACTAACACCTTATTCCTTCCATCTAATGCACAGATCTTACTAATATACACCATCACCTCATGCCTTGTATCTAATGCCAAAGATTAATGTACACTATGACCACATCCCTTTGATCTAATGGCAAAGATCTTACTAATGTACACCATCACCTCATTCCTTGTATCTAATGGCAAAGATTAATGTACACTATGACCACATCCCATTTATCTAATGGCAAAGATCTTACTAATGTACACTAACACCTTATTCCTTCTATCTAATGCACAGATCTTACTAATTGACACCATCACCTCATTCCCTCTATCTAATGTCACATATCACACTGATGTACACCAACATCCCATACCTATTACCTACCACTTAAGATCTTATTTATGTTCACAATCACTGGCAAAGATCATACCTTGTATCTAACCTGGCCTTCTATCTAATGCATAGATCTTACTAATGTACACCATCACCTCATCTCTTCTTTCTAATGTCACATATCTCACTGATGTTCACAATCACCTCATCCCTTCTATCCAATGGCAAAGATCTTACTAATGTACACGATCACCTCATCCATTTTATCTAATGGTAAAGGTCTTACTAATGTACACTATGACCTCATCCCTTGTACATAATGGCAAAGATCTTTCTAATGTACACCATCACCTCATCCCTTGTATCTAATGGCAAAGATCTTTATAATGTACACTATCACATCATCCCTTCTATCAAATGGTAAAGATCTTAATAATTATCTCTAATGGCACAGATCTGATGTACACTATCACCTCATACCTTAATTGTAATGGCAAAGATCTTACTATTTTACCTGACCTGTTCTCTCTAATGGCACAGATCTCACTAATTACACCACCATCCGAGTACTATCAAATCCTAGAAATCTTACTGATGCCCACCATTTAAGTCCACATTTCAGTATTGAAGTTTTGTATTCTGATCATGCAGCCCCACAAATCCAACACATTTTATTAGTCATAATTTGAATTTTTTTTTTTCAAAATTTGTTTCAGCAGTTCTTGATTCCCCATTTTCAAATACTCACCAAATTGTTCAGCCAACATGTAAACATTAAGGACAAACACAAAACTGGACAAAATAGAACACGAAAATGAAAACATACAAGACAAAACTGTAACATAGATTTTGCGTTTTTTCGAGCATGCCATATGGCACTTCTTGAGGAAATGGGGGGGCCCTGAAAAGGGCCCAAAGATGGGGAAATGGTAGAAGCATTTGGTATTTTATTTGAATGCTTTTTCGCAGAAGTTATTTGCTGGCGTTGGAAATAGTCAGTTGTTCACTTCAAAGTTTTGTAGACTGTAGGTTTCCTTAGAAATTTTTCAAAAAGTTCTGGAACTTTCATCACCTCTTCATATCACAGACACTATAACATTAAGTAGATGCCCTTGTCCACTTCATCACAGAATCAGCACTGTCAAGTCCCTGCAAAATGCACGCAAGATTGTCCCTGCCACATCAAAGTTTATAACAGTATTGCGAAGATCCTGATCCAAGTTTTCTTTCACACAAGTTACACTTGACATCCAAACATGTATGACAATGATAATGATCGATGGATCCGAGTTTCACCGGCACGATCGACTATGGTGTATGAAAATGGAAGTATGAGAATTGCGATTAAAAAAAAAAAATGAGGGGAAAAAAATACTATACATAATGTAATGATGATATCATGATCATGAAATAACACAATGCTATTGCATTTGATAAAAAAAAAAATAAAACAGGTAAATTCGATGGGAAATAATGATCTGGATGAAATGGCATGTAGATGTCACTAACTTACTATATTCTCGGACATAAGCATCTTCTCATAGCATCTATTACAACATTTATCACATTAAGAAGGTAAAAATTCCATTTAAAATATAAATTTGGCAAAACATCACTATTGCACTTTCAGCAAACCTACAATTTACATATTATTTATCTACAAATTTTCTATTTACATTCGAGTGAACAAGTTTGTATTTTCATTTCCAGCAGATAAATAGATGATCTTTGTCATAGCCAGGATTTAAGCTTGCATTAAAATTTGCAAAATACATTTCACAGGAATTGATTTTTTTTAGAATTGCTTGATTATTAATAAAGCTCCTCAAAAACAAGTTTCTCTGCTTATTAGGTACATGTATTACTATCAAGACATTTGGCCCAAGGATTTCAAAACAAACTTTAAACAATTAAGACATATATAATGACTTTCCAGATTCAGTATGCATGTCTCATCACAAAATAAGCTGTTGAAAGAGAATCAAAACGGATACCAGAAAACAATTTACATATTTACAAATAAATTATCGAAACATTTTAAAGTAATACATGAAAAGGAAACTTTGTTCTAAAAACTTTTTTAAAAGTAGCAAATATGCTGCAGACAAATTGGAAAAGCATTACTAAATGTTACTAAGTTCAATTATGTTACTTTGAATAATGAGATAAAGCATCAGCTTTTGACATATCAAAAAATATCCTGGCGAGATCAAAGATTTCGGTTTGGGAATAGATGAGGAAAAACAGACCAGACTGTAAGAGCTTCGTTTGAAAAAGACATACAATAGATTTACATATAAAAATTTACGGACATAATAACAATGAAAGAAAAATCAAATTAATACTGATTCACATTGCTACAAAAATATAGCTCTGGAATGTTCTCAAAAAATGTTGAATCCCTAATTACACCTGAACTTTTAAAATCATTTTCAACTGACTGCTCATATCATCGTTATTTTGAGGTTCTTCATACGAACACCTCATCATCCAGTGAGATGGTGGTTTTGGAAGCACTGCCGGAGATGGGGGGTCACTAAATTTTGCCCCAGCGTAAACACCGTTCATCTGTCCGTCGGGACTTGGTGTTCTGGGCGAAACGTTTTTCACGTCATATCGTCCTTGTTCCTTCTGAACTTTCGCGGAATGATTTTTTGGTGAAAGGCGAGGTCTTGGGTCGTTGATGGCAGACACTGGTGATGGTACGCCTTTATCTTTTCCACGATTCGGTGAAAAACGTCCTCCTCCCGCGAAACGCCTTTGTTTGGCATGATATTCCGACGATTTCTTCATCTTGCTCGCATTTGACATCTGTGGATAAGTCATATCCACCCAAAACGACGAAAGAAAGAAGAAAAACGTTCCTTTTCAAAAATGAATGAGACAAAAGTTCCTTTAAAGACGAACTCTTCCTGAGTGTTCTCGGGGATGTTGTTTACAAACAAGGTTCAAGATGGCGCCCGATGTTAGGCAAAACTTCACAGCAATTCAACCGTCTTTTTTCCGTATCAAATAAGAAATGCCAAAGCAGTCCTTGTAATTAGTAGATTCTTTGATTACTAATGTTACGTTTTGTAATATCCAAATGGCCGAATTCTTCTCAAATTTGACAATTTCCAACTTTCCAACCCTTCTCTCTTCAACTCCTGCTTCTCTTCCTGCTCGCTACATAGCTCCTGTCAATGACAACAACTCAAGGTCGTGATATTGACCAATGAAATTTGCGAGCACCTATCACGTTGGTTTGTTTGACCAATCATATTAATGCATATCAAATCTATTTTAAGAATATGATAACACGACTTCATTTGTTTTGAAAAAAATAATGTTTTGTAAAAATCAAAAACACACAAAACAATGGATCAAAATATATTTCTTTATTCCACGAAAAACTTATGAGGATTTTTTTATTTCCTTCGAGAATTTTGTGTTGATAAATTTGCATACGACAAAGCTCGGATATTCTCGGTAAATTCCGTTAAAGGGAGGTATTTCCTTTCGGATATGACGTCACAACGTAGGCGGGGAATCCTTGATTTGATTATCGGTTCAGAACACACTCAGAAATTGTTGCAAACTGTGTCATTCGCACTTTATTACACCAAGAACCAACACGTTCCTCTGTATAAAGGATTTATCTGGAAGTTTTGATCGAAAGACTTAATTTTGGGTGAGTATGTAAACTGTAAACGTACTCTTAAACTGTCGAAGCAACGCAACCATTCCGTGTGATCCCATGTTGATTGCCTTCAAGAAAAATTCGGCCAGCCCTGAGTAAGCCAATATGCTACGTAGCTACACCGAGGTTTCCTAAAATCTGCATTGTTTATTTTTGCGATAATGAATGAAAACTGTCTTGGACATGATTATTCTTTAAATATTTCCTCGTACATTTAGCGTAACATTTTGCGTCAGGAAATCGGTCAGGTATTTTATGTTGTCGACCTAGTGTACCGTGGCAGTGTATGTGAATCAATCGGGCTAGCGTTAGGCCTAGCTTGCTGTAGTAATCTATTTACTTGGCCCAACCCTGCCTAGCATAGCCTCGTGACTACGTTTGTACCTAAAACCCACAGTGAATTGTACACGAATACTCGGAAAACACGTGCGGAACGCTGCATAATACTGCTTCACCTGATGTACTGTATGTACATTTCGGTTTACGGAATATTGCTGTCATCTGATACATGTTACAAAGTTACAAAAATCAATAACTCTTTATCAGTCTCACTCTTTCAATAGTGTTCTTTCTCTTATAATGATTATCTGTTCATACATTTGCATATAGGAAAACACATAGTAGATTGAAACCTTCCTGACAGGAGTACAAGTAGCAATTTAGTAACACTAACAACAAAGAAATATATTTATAAACACTAGCAGAATATACATTAACACTATCCCCATCAACTTTACATTCTCTTGTATTAACTAGAATGCAATATTCAAAAAAAAAAAAAAAAAAAACCACAACAACACAGGAAAGTTGGTTAACCACAACTCATTTACAACTAATCTTTATGAAAAAAAAAATCAGTTTTACAATATTGATTTATTATAATTGATTGGAATATACATATATGACATCACACTGATGGTAGGATGATGATTATCTAAGCTAAAGATTCAGTGAACAACAAATATTGTCGATGGTATCATGTTTTCACCACATATAAATGTAAGCTAGATGTTATTGCAAATTATATTTAACAAAACGTTCAGTTGTCTAATCATTTTCAAAACCTATTGTTGGGAATTAAAGAGAAGCCAAGTACAAACACGCATATATATATATATGTATCTATGTTGATTTTGTGTGTATTTCTTTCCTGTCTTGAAGATGTGCAAGGAAAAGAAATATTAAAGACCAAATTGGACACTAACATAGAATGCCCGTAGCAGCCACCCAGAAAGATGCACAGATTTATCAACACTATCACCACCTTCTTCCGAAATCTCCAGGTTGTCATGTGACTGGTCAAATCTCACCAACGGCCTTGGTGACCAATACTGAGAACTTCATTGGTCGCAATGGCACAGCCTATGTAACAGACTTGGGACAAATCGCAAGACAAGCTAATTCCAATCCCGACAGAACAGCAGGATTTTTCAGTACACTTAGTCCTCCAATAATCAATTTAAGTCCGAATTTAAGCCCAACTGTAACAGAACCCCGCAGAAGTCCGCCATTTTACGACTTGAGAGAAACAACCAGAAGACGAGGGTTGCAAGGTGAGCATTTTTCTGTTTTGTTGTTAGTCAGTATTTTGCTTACAGAATATCCTCACTTTTTACACATAATGTAGTTTTATATTTGTGCTTAGCTTGACAAAGCATACTTATTAACAGATAAGATTAAGGCATGTGAGCTGTTATTGCAACTATAAGTTTCAGTGTATATGTCAGCTTCAGCAATGATCAAAAAGCTTAGAACTTTCATGTTTGGTCAAGTTGACTTGAATGAAGTGCATTGTAATACCAATGTCTGACCTGGTTATCAACTTCCAAATTTAAGTCCCTTGTGTCACAACTTAATGATTTTACTAGTTCAATGTTCTTCTGGCAGAAATTTGTATACACTTTCAACAGAAATAAACAGCCTCATATCAGTTAAATCATTTGGTATGTGCATTAGTAGCTTTTCTTGTATGTGTAATCACTGTTTTTGTACTTCCAAGATGGTTTTTAACAGCTTGTGAATTTTAAATCTATGGTCAAATTTTGTTATGCATATTTAGATACACATGTTTTTGCAATTATGAATTTTTGTCATCATATTCGACACCTTCAAGTAGGGTTTGTATTTCAAGATTTGGGGGCGAAATGTACACTTATCACATGCATGGTAGTCAATACATGTACTTTAACCTTCCAAGTGTGACAGTTTATGGATAGCTGGCTTTAGTAACTGTGTTGTTGATTGTGGTGTCTTAAGATGTTCTGAAGTTGCAATCACTCTGTTACACTCTGCTGCATGTTAAATTTGGTGGCAGAAAAGGGTCTGGTGTTCTGTAAGGTGTCCCCAGGAGGGTCTAGATGCTGAGGTGGCACCACTATAACAATGAGAGGGATAGTTTTGTAAGCTAAGGATGTCAGGATGAATCCAGGAGTCTTCAGTAATGCTAACCTGCGAAGGGGGTAATGTGATAGTTTATGCATATGGGCATTTTAGCTACATAACCCAATACTTTGCCTTAGTAGTTAAGTGGCATGTGTGCGGTCCAAAGTTAAGCAACATGAAGTGTGGTCAGCATTTGGATGTGTGACCACTCACTTGTATCCCAAACACATGTTACACAAACAAAAATGCAAGTCAATGCCATGTTACTTTCTGTTGTGGCAGCTATTTGATACACTTAAATGAAAATCTATACATTCGTTGACATATTATCCCCACCAGTTTTTGCCATTGTCTTGAGAAATGTTTTCTGATTTGCATATAACTTCACATTTTTTGGGGGCATTTTGAAACAAAGTATTTGCATTGTTGAAAAATCTATGTGCTGAAATATCATGATTTTGGCAATGAATGTCTTTTTGCAATCTTTGGTGAAGAGTAGTACTTGGCGAGAATTTGTCAAGGACCAGTAGTGAGTTAGAATGAACTAAACAATTATACAAAACTTTTGTCTGATTTCATTTCCTTATGATGTATAAATTTGAATCCACATTACTTTAACATGATTTTGAAAGGTTTTACTAAGCTGCTTGGAATCAAAATTAGGATAAACAACACTTTACTGTTGCAGTAAGTGTCTGTATTTCTATTGATATGAATTGACCAACTGGATGTGGTTTCATCCGGAATTTCATTGAAATAAACAAATTCATTAAAAAGCAGCAATATAACATTTTTATGCTATAAACAAATACTTTAATACATGGTGTACAAATTACAAACAATTTAAGAAGCATCAACATTATTTTGTTAAAAGTTAATGTAAATATTGCAGGTTATTATGTTTCCAAGTTTGATTTATTCTATTCAATATAAATTTTCCATTAAGGCTTGAAAAATAGTTTAATTGACAGAAGGCCTGTTCATATCTTCCCAAAATTTCTGCAACTCTAAAGTTGATTTCTTATACTCTGCCAGTTTGGGAATTGAACCAAATACATGCAAGAACTTTGCTTTGGCAAGCCAATATTTTTACATGCCTTGGGAGATTTGCTAGTTTTTTGTTTCATCTGTCTTAGCAAATAGGTTGCCCATTGTATTGGAATGGGAAATTCTATTTCATTGTATAATTCAAGACTCTGACATTAAGTGTAGAGATACATGTAAGTTTATTAGAAAAAAAATAGACTGTTGTTTTTGTTTTGTCAACTTTATACTTGCAGCCTTTGCCCTGGGCTTTGAATTGGCATTTGTCCAATTCTTTGAAATATAACCAAATATGTGATCTGTTTCCTGAAATTAATGCTTTGATATACATTCTAGTAAAAATTAGTGAGAAAACTGTTTACAGGATAATTGTGAATAGAGGAGGTGTTTCATTAGTGTTTTAAACATTTCTAAGCAGACATGAATATTATACCTGTAAATTTGTGCCAGGTGCACAACATCACCATTATAATGCTACATTGTCTGGTGTCTTGATTTCATAATTGCATACTTGGAGAAAATTTGAAACATACTGGTCAGATACTGGTATTTTCAGACTTGTGGTAAAGATCCATCATCTAGCTCCTTACTATTTATATTTCTTACAAAAATTACTATTTTCTGTATGTAATTTAGTCCATAAATTTACAAACAAGTTTTTCAACCATGCACAAGAAATTGCAGATTTTTGACTAACAAAAAGACCAATGGCTGTGATCATAAATCTCCACATCTCTGTCCCATCTGTGGGTCTGTTAGACTCTAATTCATTTTGCTTTTGTCTAATGTACAATATGCTGAATACTGCCAAATTTTACATACAAGTACTTGTTAGGGTGTAGGATCGAGTACAAAACTCATTATTTACACAATATAAATTTGATTATTCTACAGAATCAGAAAAAAAATTCAATGATTTGAGCATGAGTGTTACTCTTCATGTGAACGACACATCAATTATCATCAGGTTCAGTTTGATATTGTGGTTTGTTTTGTATCCCTTTGTCAAATATGGAAAAAGAGGAAAAAATGTTCTATATTACAGATGAAGAGTACATTTTCGAATAAGGAGACAATTACAATATCAATTATATATCATGTCATGATAATGTTACTTTGTGTGTGCCATTTGTAAATTGATAACTTGGCATATAGCATGGAAGTACATGTAATAAACAGAGTTATGGCCCATTTGTATTAATCTAATATCCAGTTGTCGTATTTTGCATAGATACCAGTTATGTATATGAATCATCCTGAGGTAATGTAAAAAAAGTAATGTTCATCACATGACAAATGTAACATTTGATAGATCCAGAGTCTGTACCAAGTATTTAGTGTTCAAATTCAGACCAATTTTTCTCTCCTTTTTCCATGGTTGTGTTGCTTCAAGAAAACAATTTCATGTCATAATACATGCGTATTGAATGCATTCATTTAAATCACCCAGAAGAAAAAAATCATCAATTTTAGATTTTCTTTCCTTTTGTTTTTATTTCTCATTGTTCATTTCCCCCTTATTTTTTAAAGTCTTATTATGTATTTGTATTGCAAACTTTTATTTCAATATTGTGTTTTATATATTCAGTACACCTGTCATACACATGAACATAAATTTATATATAAATCATCATACTTGATAGCAGTGCGTATCATTATAAATATAATATATACTTGAAACCTATTATCTTTCATATAATAAATGAATTGTCAACTGGGATTGATTTATCAGAATAAAACTGGTAACATTTTGCATTTTCACTTTATCATGGAGTCAGCTTATAATTGGCTCGTCCAATCAGTGAGAGTTTTCTACAATGAGGCCGATAAATTATAAACTGTAAGGGGAATTCTCTCCAAAGTGGATTTATTTTCTAGCCTGGTTGCTGGTGGCTGAAGTATTGACTTGTTGTCACTCTCTCAGCTGGTTGTCGTGGTTACCATGGCTTTTACCCACAATGCAACTAATAGGTAATCCTACCACTAGATAGAAGGTGCTTTTCTGTAGTTGTACTATCTCTGTAAATTTCCAAATATAGCTTTAAGTGTGAATTTCAAGTTTATTTTGTAATATATGCAATATTTATTCATCTTATTCTAGAAATACTGTTACGTCATTGCTGGTGTGTTTTTTATGACTAGATAATTATCTGTAATATGCATTGTAGTCAGTGTTATTGGTGTTTTGATTGTTAGATAGATGTTTGTGTTCTGTTCGGGAAAGTATCCACAGTTATATTTTATCTGTTATCAGATAAATGATTATGATATAACTATCATGTTGATCTATTTATGTCGTCTTTAAACATTATATTTCTGATCTCATCACTGATTAGGTCAGCATTGATACCTGTTTGTGTAAATGTATTAGTAAAAATTAGTAAAATTAAATCCCTTACAAATCATACTGAAAACAATCAGAAAATGCACACACATTTAAAAAGATGACTTGATAGAATTTGTATGTGGCTGTACATTTTAAGTGCATGTAATTGAAAATGAAATAGAAAACAAAAGAAAATTCAAGAAAACTGGACAAATTCAATGTTATAGGTTGGGAACACCATATGGACATAGTATTGTATCAAAGGATACTTCTGTTATGTACAGAAAATATGTATCAGATGGCTTTTTGAATTCAGAACCTTAAGATATCCCACAGAAAATGTTGAGGACAAAGTCGCTGGTGACACAGAAAAAAAAATCAATGAGGAAGGATGCCTTTTTGCTGTTGGAGAGAAAAGCTTCTCTGTTCTTCTGTTCCTGGTAATTTCTGATGTCATTTCATCGTCTGAATCTGTCATTTTCTCATCCCCACAGCAATACAGGTCTACATAGTGTCTTTCCATTTTGTGCTGATCCCTTGTTATGCCAAAGGATGTTGATTTTGTACTGTCTTTGTACATCTTGTTTGCAGTATCAGGTATCAGGCAGTGGCTACAAAAGAAATTGATCACATTTTTATGATCCTATCTTTTTTAAGGGGGTGGATGGGGGGAGGAGGGGGAAGGGGAGGGAGGAGGTGGTTTGCATGTCCATACATCCTTCCAGTCTCATTCAGAATCAATGTCATATCTTGAGAACCTCTCATAATACATCAAGTTGTCCATCTAGTCATTAAAGTTGT